CATTTCAGGATGTCACTGTTTGTTGAGCTGTATACGGGAATGTGGGTTTCTCGCCTCATCTAATGTAAAATTAATTAACCATAATCTCAGCTTCGCTCTGCCGTTGCAGCTTTTCACCGGCCGCTCTCCTCTTCCCTACGATAACCATTTCTGCTGACCACCTCAGACACCACCTCCATTCTTTTCTTCAGAAAATCCTTCTCCCTCCAACCGTCGAACTTTCCCTCTTCTACGATTCTCCCCCTCCGATCTCCTTTCCCCAAAGAACTTCCATTTTTTCGTGCTCCGATCATCAACCACCAAATAGCCATCCCCACGTCGCTTCCCTTGCTCCTATCCATCCAGTCTCCGGCATCCACTAGAGACTAATCGGTACCTGCCACATCAACTAGCTTGATTCACTTCCAAAGGTGCACGGCAGTACCTCTTCTCACTTTGGTGTTCTATGGTGTGTCTGATATACTCTCCTGCTGGTAGCTTCGGTTCATCTCCGTGTTTCGAATCCAGATCCAGTGCTTCTTGGCAATTTGGATTTCAATTCAATCTCCGGAGAAAGTTCATGCCTAGTTTCGGCGTTCTCTGCAAGTTCCTCGGATTTCAATTCCATCTCTGGAGAAAGTTCAGGCCTAGTTTCTGTGCTCTCTTCAACTTCGTATCTCCATCTCTCTTCGGTAAACACTCTCAACTTAGTTTTTTACAAAAAAATTAGGATACCTTTATTCTGACTGTCAATTAGTACTTTTCTCAATATTCTATTGAATTCAAATTGAAGTGTTTAGGAGATCGTGTGGCTAGGTCTAGCCAACTGGAGTCGACTCCGCTGGGCTACCCCTTTCTCATTTGGTTGCGGAGGAACAGGGTCGAACTTGTTATTTTGTTTGATCTGTGATAAGTTTTGGTTTGGTTTGCATTATGATGAATTTTTCAGTGCATATGTGATAAAAATCAGTTCGTATTTATACCCAATTTCTGTCTGTTATTTGCATAAAATGAATTATCTTGTGATGTGATCTCGGTGTTACATTTTAGTTCTGAGTTTGTGTTTGATATGCCTGTTAATGTTATTCAGATTGTTGTTCTTCTGCTTCTGTCTACTTTCTGGAGCTTCTTGGATTTCTAATTTCATGTTTGGAATAGAAATTTTGATTTGCCGAGTGTTCTGAATTTAGCTTAATCGGGATAGGCAAATGGTCACATGTATTAGCATAACTCGTCGCAAGATTTTTAGGTATGATGTTCAGCACTTTTTGAATGAAGTTCAGCATGTTTTGATATTGTATATGATTACAAGAAATTTTGTGTTTCAGTGCATCATCTAGTTGGTCATATTATTAGTAAGATTTTGATCGATTGATACTTATTAATTTATAAATCTTAATTTAAAGTTAAAATTAAAAATTTAAATTTTTATGATGATAAGTAATTAGCCTTCTAACATAAAAAAAAAAAAATCTAGTTGACCATACGTTGAGAATTGTACTGACATATTTGGAAACAACCTTTGGTAGGAAATTGCATGTTTTAGTTACAAGAATTTCCATTTTTACTTTATACTTTTTATCTTGGCTTCAAATTTCTGTGCTGTGTTGAGTGGCTTCAATTTTCTTTGCCATTGCAAGTACTCGCATACTTATAGTTTGTAATCACATTATTCTAATAAAAATAAAAGATTTTGAATTTAAATTATATGTTATAGGAGTGAAGTATGAGAGAGTTGTTTCTTAACATCCACCTCAAGATAAAATTTAAAAAATAGTAATTCAATTCCATTTAGTTTTCTGGTTTGTGAAGAGAGGTTTTCCGGCGTTTGCTGTTTCTTTCATTAATTCTTGAAAGCATAAATGTCGTAATTCCTTGTACTTGTTCAAAGAGAAACGAAATAAAATGTCTTTGTGTTTGGTGCAGTGAATATATCTTCCAGTTGAATTCTGCTTTGCATCCAAGAAGCTTAGCCCAATATGTAGTGATGGTAGTCCGAGGTCCGTGACCTCGGACCTTGGACGATCTAAGCCATGCCTAATAACCTAATCACCTCGGACATTGTATGAGGCGTGATGAGCTGAGCTCAATTGAGTTCGAGCTGGTCCCTTTTGCTCTCACTCTACAGTAACTTTGCACATACACAGATTTCTTACGAGAGATACTTGTGATGATTGACACATATGACCTCGATTTTTCGCAAAGATGAACATGTGAACACCTCTTTGAAGGCTATAAATACTCCCCAAGGATCCTTCCCAAAAGGTAATTAAAACCAACCCCAAGTTTAACTCTTGCTTCATATTTGGTAACTCTAATTACTGCTAACTTAGACATCGAAGTGTCTACCCTGAGGACTAACCTCAGGGTTTTGCAAGTTGACCAAAGTGAAGATCCAAGCTTGGAAGTACTTTGGAGTTCTTTGCAACAACACAATAAGCATTGGTGCCAAAAAAAAAAAAAAAAGAAGAGTTTGTAAAAATCTACTAAATGCATAATGGGATTCTCTTCTAAAAAAAGATTGAGAAAATGAATGTGGCGGAAAAAAGAGAGATGTGTTATGGCCACACAATTATTTGTTGGGCTCCGGTTATAGTTTCAGTATTGTAGTGAAACCGCGGTGAATTGATCGCCGGCTTAATTGATTTTTGCGGGAGAACGAGGAGGAAGTTGAGGTGTACTGTAATTTTTAGTTTCAATTTCAAAGTTGGGTTATTTAGGAGAAGGAGACACATAGGAGAAAGCATTCCATTCTGTGATTTATTTATTTATTTATTTTTATGGACATTCTCTGATTTATTTTTTGAATGATATATTGAGGTAAGGCATTGGCATAGGGGGCGGAGGGAGTGGGGTGCGAGGGGGGTGACTGCCCCCCCAACTTTTGAAAACTTTCAAAATTAGTACACAAACTATTTTTTTAAAGTCTTTAAATATTGCATTTACCATGTAAAATTATAAGTTTCTATCGTTTAACTCTTTTTAATATTTCATACTTAACAACTCAAAACTAGTACAACTTAAGATTTTTTTTAATCTATATATCTTTAGGACAGGTTAAGAATTTTGGAAGAATAAAAAATAATATTTAATTTATTAATTATTTAATTAAATTTACTAATGAGAAAATGGTACTAAAATTAATATTAGTTTTTACATTTTTCAATACAAATTTATAACAAAAAAGGTGCTTTAGGATACAAGTTAGAAAAACCCTACAATTGATAATATTTTTATTGTAACCATAATTTTAAATATGAAGAGAAGATTAGGATTTAATTAAATATTTTGCAAAAAAATGACAATAATATAAGAGAAAAGGGAAAATTAGTTCATGACGTCCAATAACAACCATTAAATGTATAAAGTATAGTTTAAACCCTAAATTTATCTAATCCATCATGTAATTATTATTGTACATTCTGACACTTTTAATGATAGACACTTTTAATGCTAGGATGTCATTAAAAACGTTAGGATGTCTTATTTTTTCTTTTCCCATATTATAATCTAAATAAATGAATTTCTTATATATTGAATAATGTAGGAATCAAGGTTCTTAATTAAACAGAAACTCAAAGATCTTTTCCCCTTTAAGTTTTTGAATTGTTTTAGGATTTTATTGTTTAATTCTTTTCATTTATTTCAGAAAGTGACTTGACTAACAAAAACTTTAGTTAATAAAAATGCTGACTCTTTGTCTAGCCAATGATTATAATTTATAAGTATTGAATTACATATTTTATCTTTTCTATTGTTTGATTTTTTAGAATGGAAAAAGATAAAGTTTTAATAAACAAATTAGTACAAAAGAAATGATAGACATTTTAGGACAAAAGAAGAAGACTTAAAATTGTTTGCATTGGATAGTTTATTGTTTAAGCATCATAATGAGGTATTGTTCTTACTTTAATAAAATGTTTCATCTAATAAAATTTATTAAAAATATAAAACAAATAAATATATGAGAATAGTACATACCAACCCTGATTTCCAAAAAAATTGAAGTCTCAACCCTTAAAATTGCATTGTTTTATTTGATTAAACTCAATTGCTCCTTTCACCCCTCCCCTTTTGCAAGTTTTCACCCTAATTCAATTCTCGTCGTGTTCATGTCAACAGGATTATTCAATTTTAAGATTCATCTCATTATTGACATGAAATCTCATATATGAGAAAGAAAACCAACCTTCTCGTTTTTAAATTTAACAAGAAATTAGTTTAAGAAAAAAGAACTTATTGTCGTTGTTGCCAGCAGAGGATGAAAAGGGTAAATTGTTGAATTTTAGAGGGTAGATCATTGTTGATTCCTTCCTTGTTATCGGTAGTAGCATGGGTTATATCTATAAAATTTACTAAATTGTATGAGGTGGTAAAGATGATGAATTGCAGTTGCAGAAGTCAAAAAATAGTAGGGGTTTGGGTTTAATAGAAATGGTGTTGTTGAGTCTGGGATTCTAATTTATTTTGGGAATTAGAACTAATATATATTTTTTCTTAAATATATTAATTTCTTAATTTTTTTTTAAAAATTTAATTAATATTATAAAAAAATATTTAAGGGTTAAGGCGTCAAACAAAAAAATTTGGGCCCTCCTCACTCAATTTTATGGATCTGCCCTTGGGTATGGACACGTGGTTGGTGAGTATGAGATTTAAGTGAAATATTTAGGTTAAAACCCCAATTCAGTCCCTCAACTTTCATTTTTGAACTAAAACTACCCTCGAACTTCAAAAAGTACTAAAAAAATCCTTAAACTTCAATTTTCGAGACCAATTTTGTCCTTCCGTCGACGGAAGTGCCAGATGGCACGTTAAGTTGCCATGAAATCAAGCTTTTTTTTTTCAACTAATGACATGGAAAAACCACATGTAAAAGTGTATGAGTTGGCATTTTATCCTTAAAATTACACAATTATCCCTTATCTTTAATTTTTTATATTTGTTGAAGTTACCAAAATACCCTTATCTTCTTTTTTCCCTTCTTTTTCTTTTTCTCCTTCCCTGCCTACTAGGTTCC